CATGTATGATTCTATTTGTTTTGTAGCCCGGGGGAGGGGGGGGGGAGTGTACCCCAAGGGGGAGGGGTGTACCCCGGAAACACGCTACACTCCTCCGGGTAGTGACGTGTGCGCGCACTGAGGGTATATGTTCAGTTCTTATCCCAATGCATGGAGGAGGAATTCCTGATCATGTGATTGGCTATGACTGGGTCACATGACCGGGAGCTGACACTCGTAAACCGTCACTGTGCCGGGAGCGCCGAGTGAACACGCTTCCCGCACAGAGCGGCTACACACACGTGTGCGCACACAGCCAGCGAGCAGGTGTCGGAGCGCAACAAAGCGCAACGGCGGCCTAAATGTTATTGTTTCTAGTTTTATAGAAGGAAACCCGTCATTGGGGAGATTCCTCCCGTCCCTCCCTCTGACATCACAACAGGAAACTAGGGGAATTCACTGAGACAGAGGCTCCTCCCCCAATCTCATTCCCATTATATAGAATGTGTTGTACAATGTTGCACCAGTCCTCCCCTTCAGCCTCCTATGTGACCTCTGTCCTCCCCTTCAGTCTTCTGTCCTCCCCTTCAGTCTTCTATCTGACCTCCGTCCTTCCCTCCAGTCTTATATCTGACCTCCGTCCTCTCCTTCAGTCTTCTATCTGACCTCCGTCCTTCCCTCCAGTCTTATATCTGACCTCCGTCCTCAGGCCTGTGTGTTATAACTTGTATTATATTCACCTAAAGCACAGAACTCGCCCGATACTTCCTGGCATGTGACCCGCTCCATGTGACCGCTCTGGGCCAATCAGCTCTGTCACATAGGAGTCCTGCGTAACGTTGTGACTCCAGCCGCCCGGGGCTGTCCACGAGTCCCTGCCGGGACAGTACAACCCGATCCTCCAGTGCAGTGACTGTGAAGGAACTGAGACGTAACTCTGCTCTCCCCTTCTGTCAGCACATGTGCTCTATGGCAAAGCCTGATTGGCTCATAGCGCCGCCCCCGCCCAGGGGAGCTAATACCCAGACAGATTCAGCTACTTGTATTGGCTGCAGTTGGATATGAATTTCGGGGTCACGTAGTTCGGGCAGTTCATGGGGGACAATGTACGGGGTGAGGTGACGCCGATTGTCCTCCTCTCAGTAGTCCCAGGATCTACCGCCTCAGTTTTGAACCACTTGAGTCCCATGCGGACCCTTTGGGGGAAAATGGCGGTTTTCTCCGGGTTCTGGTCAGACTTGAGCCAGCGCCGTCATCCGCCACCAAGACCCAGGGGCCGCTTCTGATCCCCCTACACGGCTCTCCGTAGGATGTCCTACATTGTGTTTTACATTGGAAGGGATGTGATGTCATCGGTGATGTCATAGCAGAGCTCTCTGCAGCAGCAGACCGTTCCTATAGTGGTCTATGGCCACCGCCTGACCTCCGCCAGACCCATCGAAAATAAATATAGAAGATCTGTAGGCCAGAGGGGTAAACTACGAAGGGATGAGGGGCAAATGGCATTGGAAAATGTTCAGGGGGTGGAGCTAGTGTCTCTTTAACCAGTTGACATCCGCGGTGTTAAACCCCCTATGCTCCTGCCTTGCCTGTGGCCCTCAGGCTTGCAATGCCTTATGGGACCTCCTCTGAGTAACAAAGTGTCCAAGTCTCTAAATCCAGAATGGAGATCTGTGTTTTGATTGGTTGTTGGGACGTTGGATCTTGTGGCGGCTTCTTGTAGGCCTTGGGGAACTCCATGGTGGACCTTCTCCGGTCTCCCGGGAGAGAGGGCCCCGCGTATGCTAAGACATGGGTGTGACGGGTTACATGCGGCCCTCGGGTGGGCAGTTGGCGGGTCACCACCTTATGGCTGACACCCCCCAACAAGCCACCACTCATGGGGAACGGGGCTGGTGGGAGGAAGCCTCTGACTGGGTCATCCTTTGCCCGATCTTTCTCGAAAGTTTGACATTGAAAGTTATGATGGGGAGGTTGGGGGGTGACTTCAGTGGGAGGAGCGAGAACCCTATTTGTATCATGAGAACCCCCCCAACGGAGGGAGGAAGGGACATGGGGCGTTCCCCCCCCCGATCCCCTCCAAGGTCTGGGGTGCCTCCTCCTCATAGACGTGAGATGTAACCTCCTTTTGAGATCTTCCCGTCCTCTGTAAATGACTCTTCTCTCTCCCTTCCCCCCCTCGCAGGGTAACTACGTGGTGGAGCGGGATGAGCTGGTGGAGGTGCAGCAGCCGGAATACGACGTCGTCTTGTGTCTCAGCATCAGCAAGTGGGTCCATCTCAACTGGGGAGACCAGGGGCTGAAACGCATGTTCCGGAGAATCTACAGGCACCTGTCTCCGGGGGGGGTCTTCATCCTGGAGCCCCAACCCTGGTCCTCGTACGGCAAGAGGAAGAAGCTGACGGTGAGTGATGGGGGAGGGGAACGGGGTCTATGGGGGGGAAATCAAAGTGACCTCCGGGGGGGCAACCGTAGCCGGTTCTGCC